GTAGTAAGTGGCTAATACTTTGATTTTAATATCATTAATCGTTGATCCGGTCACAGTAAAAAGAGCGTTAGGAGGGAGAATTTCACGCAGCATTTTAACATTAAAGATAGAATCTGCGAAGTTCGATCGTTTTACCTACGGGTTAACGGCACGGTTGGGTATGAAATCCGAGACGAAAGTAGTACTCTGAAGGCATTTTTGGATTGTCACACAAGTCCAGATACAGCACATGGCGACCGTGACACTCTTTCTTGTTTTAAAATGCGCGTGATTGATTAATCTGATAAATCGATGGTTCGGGAATTGTCAAATGTAAGAAAACGTCGAGTCAGTGAAACGCGAAACGAAAAAGTTGTCGAAAAGTTAATTAGTATAGTGCGTAGCGAAAGATACACGCAAATTTTAAAACGGTTTTAAGAAATGTTCAAGCCGAGTAAAGATAAAGCGAGATCACCAATTTTCACAAGATCCGCGAAAAGATTAACGATGAACAAGACGGACAACGAAAATAAAACGTGTGATAACGATAAGGGCGATAAGCCGATAGAAAACCGCGAAAACGCGAGTGGTGTAATAGTAAAAGCAGTAAAGTCGAATCAGGCCGTGAGCCAATAAAAATCCTCGAAAACGCGAAGAGCGTAAAATCGATAGAAATGCATTCGGGCGATAAACAGTCAATAAGAGACGAGGCTGGCGCAACTACGGGAAAGATAGTTAACGGTGACGCGAGTGTGATTACGAGCATCGCGAATAAAATCGCCGAGCTAACCCGCGTCATGTCGTCGTTCTCGAATTACGTTAGTGATAAATTCACGCAGCAGGAGCGTGTAATAAATTCCTTACGCGACGGTAATCGTGATGTGAACAACGCGGAATGCCGAGCTGAGGCTGAGATTTCAGCCAAAAATTGAAACACAGCATGCGAGCGCGAAGCGACGAACGACCGTGAGTCTCTGATTCAGATGAACTTACCGCGAGGCGGATGGTTCAAAAATCCGTTTAGCGAGATAGAATTACGAGGTGACAATGATTCGCAAAACTATAGTATTTTTACGTAAGTTTGATAGAATTGCATGCGAGGAGAGAGTGTCCGAGAAGGACCAATTGTGTTTCTTTCTGCGAGCCATGAAAAATTTGGCAGCAGACTGGTTCGAATTGAAAGAGCCAATCAATATAAACGATGCGAAAGAAATGTTTAAAAGTAGATGCTGGGGGATTCAAGCGCAAGCAAAATTCCGTCGGTTGTTACATTACAACCGATACCGAGCACAAGCCGGAAGCATGTCGGAATACGCGATGTCGATGGTCACGCGCGCGAGAACATTGATCCCGCCAATGACGGACGCAGAATTGATTTTCACGTTGAAAGAACACTTCGACGAGGAAACGCGGCGCGAATTACGACCGTCGTTCGTAGAGATGCTCGAGACGATCGATTACGAGCGTACGTGTCGACGAACAAATCGCGAAGATGTTAGTAGTACGAAGCAAGGAGTAAACGCATCGACCAATCAGAAGAGATTCCTACCGCAAGACAACGCGAACGTAGCGAACAATACTTTAGTCAATCAAAAACAATTTTATCCGCGAGATAATCAAAACGCGACATATCCGCGACAAAACGCGATAGCGTATAATAAAGGATTCGGCAACGCGCAACAACAACCCACGAAGGGACAATTAGCCATTACAAGCGGTGATTCGAGTAGACAACCACAGGCGCAACAACAGACGCAACAGGGCGTGAATTTCGCGAAAACGCGTCAAAACCAATCACGTTACAACGCGTCGTCACTCAATTATCGTAACACGCGTGAGAATAAGACCGATCCGAAAGTTGAATTTCCGTCGAGCGACGATGATGACGACAAGTCGAAAACGCCTAAGGGCGGACCAATAGCAACGCGAAACGCGAACGCGAGACGCGAAAACTTAAAATCGGGAACGAAACATATTTCCGTCATACAACGACAACACGTTAACGCCGATGGAGAGCAATTCTCATCGATGAAGATTACTGACGTCATGTCCGGAAGATCAGAGGAGGTGGACTACAAGAATGACGCTCAGCCAATGAGATGTCAGATCGCGAGAGACGAGCAAGAGAGCCGTACTTTCAAAAAAAACGACGAGGCATCCATTTCGACGAACGTAGTTGGTCAACGAAAGAAGAATAAGGTCGAGAGTCAAAGGACCAATCAGGATAAAAAACGAGTGGAGATAGAAAAAGGTCACGTACAGCACGTTAACATCGTGAGGACCAATGAGATTTTGAAGAATTTAGATGAGGAAATGCTTAACGAGCAAAGTAAGAGCGGTACGTTGAAACCTAAATGTCCGTTCATAAAAATTCATTTCGATGATGACACAGCAGTCACGACATTGGTTAATACAGGATCCCAATTGTCAATAATATCATACGCGGTATACAATGGGTGCGTTCGGGAAGACGCTATTAGCGCTATTTAGCGCTATAAGCTGTTCGCGAAACTAGATGGTAGCGCAGCAAACGCTACTATGACGTCACTCATGGTAGCGTTATACGTCATAACTGAGCGCTATCAACGCTATTCCTTCCGAGGTAGTGTATTGGTAGTGTTAGCATTTGCAAGGTTCGTGAACGCTCAGAACGCCCATGTATTGCACATGTTTGTCGAACCTAACCACCAAACTACCGGTCGAAGAAAAATAAGGAAGAAGAAGGTTCCAGTAATACACACATTTATAATGGATAATCCCGAGTATCCCGACAATTCCGTGGAAGTAAATCTTCAGGATGTTATAACTGGAGAAGAATTTACATTACAACTCTCACCAAACAGTGCTTTGAAAGCAAAAACCGGTAAGTTTCTTTTACGTAATTGTAAATAATATTGTATAAAGTTATATATAAACAATTTTTTAACGGATTTCTGCTTGCAATAATTTCACATTTATTTATGTATAATAATGCAACTAATTTAATATGGTTTTGGCTTTTATCACATTAATGATTTAATTTTGAAATGCCTTCTCTTTATCTTTTTTGCATTAATTTCCTGTGGACCTATTCTGTAACATATTTTAATGAGTCACAATTTTTGTGTAGAAAAAATGTATCGCACAATAGTTGCACAATGAACAGTAACGATGACGATTATTATTATAAGTTACAGAATAAGGGAGATTCTCTTTGAATATATTTTAAATAATCTTTTTGTTTTAATGTTATTGTTACTTGATTACCTACAGATTTGAGTTTTGCGACACTTTTACTAAATGTTGCACGTCAAGCAAGCATGTGTTCAAAACAGTGCATGTGAGGATAAGAATTGTTCTACAATCGGTAATAATATATGGTTTATGTTAACTGCTTAATGCCTATATGAATCAATTAGTGCAAAATAGATCATTTCTATTTAAAAAAATTATTTCTTAGAAGCATCTGAACATGTGCAGTCCACCTCCTCAAGTAATACTTCATTGAAGGAAGTATTTGGTATGTAATTTAGTTTTGCGTCTCTTTTACATTGTAAGGTAATTTTCTTAAATTAATTATATGCATTGTTTTTGTAGATAATATGGACATGTCAACTAATGAAGAAAGAGAAATGGAAGAGGATGAGATAGAAGAGACGTCATTGACGGAAAATAAAGAAAGTAAGGAAATTTGACAATATGGATTGTAATTTTTTAAAAATGTTTGTACTTTACATTGTAATGTTTGGTTTACATTGCAGATTTTAGATGGTCTCATGCGGCAATTATGCTGTTATTGGAAAAATACAGACTGCGAGAATCTTCCATGTCTTCTGGAAAAATGAGTCATAAGAAAGCATGGGATAAAATTGCGCGAGTAATGAATGTTAAAGGATATGATGTCTCGGGTAAACAATGCATGACAAGGATTAATACAATGAAGCGAACATATAAAACGGTCAAAGATCATAACGGAAGATCTGGTAACAATAAGCGCACTTGGAAATATTACAACGTAAGTATTACTTGATTTATTACAATAAATATTAACTTTTGCTTTACCTAACTATTACGCACATACGCTTTTATTACTCTTAATGCAATATTGGCTGTTTAGGCCATGGAAAGTCTTCTTGGCCGAAAACCATATATGGAACCGTTGACAACCATTTCGTCAAGTGGATCTGTAACATCGAGGCCTGAAAGGCCGGACTCTCGAGGTAGTAGCAGCAGTAGTGTCTCTACCTGTGAATCCGGTGAAGCTCCTCGTAAGAGACTATTACTTATTGAAAATTGAATATTGAATTAATGTTGATTTATAGGCCGTAACCGTTGATTTAATCTGTAAGCCCTAAAAAATTTTCTAATCAGTCGATTATTCTCCTCACATTAGACTGTGATTGGTCAATTTCTTAGAGCTTACAGTTTAATTAATGGTTACAGCCTTTATAAATCAGCCTTTAGACATTACAGTGAAATATAAAAAATTTTTGCTTTTAGGTAAACGTAAAGCCACTGATCAACCAGCCATCATACAAACGCTAATAGAAAAGCGCCAAAAAGCTGAGGAAGAAAAAGCAAAGAGACACAAAGAAAGGATGGAAATGGGAAACAAAATGTTGGCAAAACTGGATAAACTTCTAGAGAAGAAGTAAATACCTCAATGTTACAGAACCAGTTGCACAGTTTGGAAAAGTGCAATTACATAGTACAAAAGTTTGGTTGTTATTTGGAATATTAATATATATTCTATTATATATTATTTTATATTACACGCACGTTTATTTTATTATTAATATATTCTCTCTTGCGTTATATTGAGCAAAGTGTAAGTGGTAACTATAATTTCATTTATTAACATTAAATAGTATATAAAGTAGGTATATAAGATGGGTATATAGAAGATTACAAGATTAAAAGATAAAAGATGGAGAGATAATGATTAAACCAAAGATTACATTATAATTTTTTAAGGTTTTTAGTTTGTATACAATAAATATTAACCGATTGCATAGTAAATTGTAGTTTTTTATTTCAAATAAATGAATATGTACCAATTATACATTTCTTAGTCGTAATCTCTGAGCTATTAAATCTCGCTTTGCAGCACCTGCATAAGCAGCATCACGCATATTTTCATTATTGGCCATCACACAATCTATCACATCTACATCCTCAATCACTTCTATATTAAAATCATCATTTTTCATTAGACACACATTATGTAAAACACAACAAGCAAGAATATGCAGTGGAATTAAGTCTACTCTATCCATTGCAAGTGTTGTAAGAAGACTTCGAAAACGTCCCTTTAATAGTCCGAAAGCTCTTTCAATAGCAATTCTCGCAGAAGCATGACAAAAGTTACAATTTCGTTGACGTTGTGTCATATGGCCATTGTCTCGATACGGTATTAGCAAATTTTCATGCAATTTATAGGCTAGATCTCCAACTAAGTGACAATCTTGTGGAAACTTTGACACATCTCCAAGATAGGATTGTACTTCCGACAGACGAAACACTCGTTGATCATGTACCGACCCCACATGTCCAACATAACAGTGGATAAATTGGCAAGTGTGGTCACAAATAGCCTGCAACAAAAGACATACAAACCAATATAGATTACATAAAATTGGCATAAAAAAAATTAACATTGGAATTTCCGCTAAAATTATTGAAGTAGAAAATATTACCTGAAGTTGGATTGAGTGATGACTTTTGCGATTGACATATGCTGCTGGATCATCTTTAGGAGCTGGAATATTGATGTGCGTGCCATCAATAGCACCAATGACTTTAGGGAATCCACTATTAGCTTCAAATCCTGCCCACACTTGACCAACTCGTTCATTTGTAGGCCATTTAATTACAGTAGGTGCCAGCTCAATAAGTGCATTTATAACACGTCTTGTTATATATAATGCAGTACTTCTACCGACATTAAATCGATCGGAAATCGACCTGAAGATTAAAACAAAAATATATAACAGTTGTTTTCTAGTTAAGGCTCCTAGGGTTTCGCCGCCGTCATGTGAGATCATGACATCAAAGGCGGAAATGACACGCTGAGAATTCTTGCGTGCCATTTCCAAATAAAATAACATACTTCAAATTACTTCAGCACACTTTAAAAATACTCCGAGAACTATCCCTTTCTCTTCATGTAATAAATGTAATACGAAACCGTGCGCCGGCGCATAAGCACTCATATTACATTCATTTTATGACTGTTTTTTAACTGTCAATGGAAAGGGATAGTTCTCGGGAGTATTTTTGGTATGTGCTGAAATGATCTGAAGTATTATGTTATCTTTTTATTTGGAAATAGCACGCAAGAATTTTCAGCGTGTTATTTCTCGTCCCTGACGTCACGATCTCACATGATGACGGCAAGAGCCCAGGAGTCTTAATGACACAAATCAACATAAGCATCTCTGTTTATGTTGCCAACATGTCAAACAAAGAAAAATTGATGCTTGTGTTGACTGATATCACTGACCATGTTCAACAAAACTGTGAACTTATTCATTACCTTAAAGAATCTGGAGTAGCTAATCGCCACAACGCCAACAAACACTGTTTGCGTGGAGAAATCATAGGTGCTCCCTCTGTTTTCTCTCTTAGTAGTATTGGCTCAATAATAGACAGAAGATACTCGAAGGTTCCAGGAAGCATCCTAAATTATGTATTAGTTATTGTTTATCAGTTAGATATTGCATTCTGTATTCAAATCTGTACTAAACTGTTTACCATAGACTTTTTGATAGAGAAATATTTTTAGGAAGACATTATTTATATTATTGATACCTGAAATGAGCTTTGAAATCTTGACTTGTTAACCCTGGCACTACTGTTTCAACATAATTTTGTACTCTGGACACTTTTCTTCTTTTATTTAACATTTTTTCCAATATTTCAAGTTCATCATTATCGCTGTCACTTGATGACGTTTCTACCAACTCCCGTATTTGCAGTGCTATTATTGTTACCAAATCTCTTCGATTTGCCTCCATTGTTTGCTACTTAAACGCACGGACGATTTCCTCAGCTGCCTCAGCTTTGGGAAGAACGAGACACTCGCGTGGGGTAGTGTGCGACGATTGCACCCGGTTAACGAAGCTGATCGCGCTCAGCGGGCGAAATTGCGCCCGTGCGACGAGACGACACGGACACGAATGTCACGCAAGAGGAACAAAGCAACGTATCGGCGGATCGACGATCAACAATCGCGAGAACCGTGCCGATCGACCGTCTCGCGGAGAAGAGTATGAAGAGACGAGGAAACCGATGACCGAAAAGCGATGTGGGACTTCAGACTCCACCTGTTACCTAAACGCAAACACCAATAATGCCAACGCTACGCTAGTGCCGTTCATGGAGCTCGCTGTCGCTATCGCGCTATTGGCTCCATGAACAGCTTTGGTAGCGTTTGCGTTTATAGCGTTAATAGCGTTTTCCCGAACGCACCCAATGACTTAAAGAAAAAAGGATTGATATTAGACATCCTACCAATTAGAAAATTCTTACTCAAAGGAGCTTTCCAAGAGAGAGGAGAAGTCTTTGCTAACAAAGCACGCATTTCATTCAAATATATGGATCAGACTTATACGCATGAGTTCCACATCGTGAGAAAAATTTGTTACGAAGTCATCTTGGGAAGGGATTTCCAGATTAAAAACAAGATGCTGATGAAGTTCGATGGGACACCTCAAATCGTATTTGCTGAAGAACAAGAAGCTGAGGTGACGCAAAGGATCGCACCAATCACAGCGGAGTTGACGGAAGAAGAAGCTCGAGAGGAATTAAAGAAACTTGTCGACGAATACGAAGACATTTTTGATGGAACGATCGGGTGCGTTAACCATTACGTACATGACATTGATTTCCGATTGGACAAAGCATTTAAGAAGAAGTCGTATCCAATACCCGAGAAACATTTACCTAGAGTACGCGAGTATATGAAAGAACTAGAAGACAAAGAAATAATTGAAAAAGCCGCGACTCAGTACATTAATTTATTGGTGGTGGTAATCAAGAAAGACGGGAGCATAAGACTCTGTTTAGACGCGAGGGAGATTAACAAGAGAATGGCCAATGACCATACGCAACCGCCAACCATCGAGGAAGTATTCAGAAGAGTAGGAAGAAAGAAATATTTCACAACCCTTGATATCTCGCAAGCATTTTGGCAGATTCCACTGACACCGGAAGCCATGCAATATTGCGGATTCATGTTCGACGGACAGACCTACATTTTCAAGAGGATGCCGTTTGGAATTAAGACAGCAGGAGCAGCGTTTACAAGAGCGATGAGAAAAGCCTTGGGAGACGACTGTTTCGATTTTGAGATAATTTACCTAGATGACGTGATGATTGCGTCGAAAACATTGGAGGAGCACATTCAACACCTGAAGACAGTCTTCAAACGTCTCAGAAAAGTAAAATTCAAATTAAATCTGAAAAAGTGCGAATTCATGAAGAAGGAAATTAAATTCTTGGGACACACATTCACCGAGATTCAAGCAGAGATGAACGATGATACGCGATTAGCGATCATGAATTTTAAAAGACCGCAGAATAAGAAGGAGATACAAATGTTCCTAGGATTGATAAACTGGGACAGAAGATTCATTGAGAATTTAGCAAGAATGACAAGAGTATTGGAGCAGTTGCTGAAAAAGGGAGTAAAGTTTGCCTGGGAGCGCGAGCATCAAGTGGCGTTCAACGAAATAAAAAAGGCATTTCAAGAAGCTCCTAGCCTGTTTCTGATACGACCTGATATGAAGTTTGGAATTAATGTAGACGCAGCGAGAACCGGATTGGGTGCCAGATTATACCAATACCGTGAGGGAGAAGAAGCGAAATACACGATCGCATATTTGAGCAGGAGTTTAAAAGGCGCCGAAGTGCGTTACACTATTACCGAATTGGAATGCTTAGCATTGGTATTTGCCTTGAGAAAATGGCACATCCTGTTAATGGGAAGACACGTGAGAGTTCACACAGACCACAAAGCTCTACAATTTCAGAGCACGTGCGTTCAAAACAATCATCGCATAGCGAGATGGTTTGAATTCATGCAAGAATTTGACCTCGAAATAATACACATTCCTGGTAAGAAGAACGAGATCGCGGATACTCTATCGAGATCCAATGAGGATGAAGATCCGGAGAAAGACGACGTAAAGCGCATAGCGCTGATCAAAGATCATTACGATGGAGCCAATACCGAAGAATGGATACCGTGGTTACAAAGGATCCAAGCACAGGACGAAGAACTACAAATAGCGGTACAGGAGCAACCGGAAGAGGTCTACCGAAGAGACGGTTTGATCAGAGTACGATGCGACAATACTGACCGTGTAGCAGTCCCACCTAAGCACACATGGGGGCTTATTGCAAAAATTCACCGTTTACTGATACATTTCGGAACGGATAAAGTAATAGCGTTTACGCAAAAGTATTTTCACACATTTAAAGTAGCGCGAATAGCGAGAGACGTTGTAGCGTCGTGTAAAATATGTCAAATGACCAAATACTACACCAGGCCAACTGTTGGTAGACAATACTACGACCTGCTTGAAGAACCAATGAAAACGGTTTCTTTAGACTTGTTCGGTCCATTGCCAAGGACGCGACAAGGATTCAAATATATATTAGTACTGATGGATCAGTTTTCGAAGCTCACAAAATTCTATCCAATCAAAGACCAGAAATTCGACACGATAGTCGAGACATTAGAATCGAGATTTTTCAGAGAAGTGGGAATTCCGGAAGAAATTTTGACTGACAACGGAGGCCAATTTATAACGGCGAGGTGGCGGAATTTTGCCACGGAGCATGGAATCACCACGAGAAAAACTTCGCCTTATAACCCACAGTGAAATCCGGTGGAGAGAGTGATGCGCGAACTAGGACGCGTTATCAGGGCATACGCCAGCGACAGACAACACACATGGTGGAGAATAGTAAGCAGAGCGGAAGATGTCATAAACGACACCGTTCATTTATCGACGGGTCACACACCCAACGAAATTCATTACAACGTGGAAACACTGGCACGTTTGCGACGAATTGCGACCGATGCCTACGCAACAAGACGAAGAAGATAGATTAGAATGAGTACAACAGGCGAAGGATGTTGCGGCCACTTTTGACGCCCTATATCTCGAATACTATCTGTCTTAAAAATTTAACCCAAAGACCAACGGAAAGCTTACATCATGTATAATGAGATTTGAAACTTACGCCGACCGCAAAAATTTCCAAATAAATTTTTTTGACAATATTTAAATTATTAAAAATTACGGTAAACTGAGGAAAAAAAAGCAACATTATTCTAGCATCTGTTGTTGGTATAATTGTTGGTCACATATTAATGCCGAATATACTGTTTTTCAGGAAATTTTATAAGCTTCAAATTTGGTCTGAAGCATTTTGTACGTACTCTCATAAAAACTGAGAAAATTACAAAAAAGTGTGGCAAACCCCATTTTTTTACGAAAACTCTTAAGAAAGGCATAATTGAAACGACAATTTTATAAAAACTTTCATTTCAAAACCGATTCCACTGCAGGATCATATACATATGCATATAAACTTTTGAAAAAATGTCGATATTATTTTTTCTAAAGTAATTTTATGTCATGTTTTGTAAAAAAACTATAAATTATTAAGAAATTTTTAACATAAACAAATATTTAAAAGGCTATATCTCTGGAAGTATTCATCACAGAAGGTCAAATAAAAAATTATTTTAAAGATAATTTAATAAACTTCAAGAAACATGTGTATTTAAAAAAAAAAAATAACTTGAAAATCCGCCATTTTGAGAAGTGTACCTAAAAACCGTTTCTTTTACGGATATCAAAAATACTATTAGTCGTATGCAAATCGGTCAAAAACCAAAATAATAAAAATTTAATAACCTTTCTATTTGATTTTAACAATTTTTTGCGTAGGACTACCCATTTCCGACTTATATTGCGAGGAAATATTTATTCTCACAATTTCCAAAAGTCAAAATTTCATTTAAACTGTAATATTTCCAGAAATATTAGTTGCGCGGTATAACATAAATAATGCATTTTGTAGGTAATTTAATTATCTTTCACTTTCATTGTATGCATTTTTTACTTTCGGACAGCCAGAACTGAGATATTTTGAAAAAAACACTCGAAGAAACAGCTCTTTCCTCATTTGCCCAATGCTTCAAAAAATTCTATCTTGGGAACTAATGGTCGTACAAAGTTCTACAAAAAACCAAATTGCGAGGAATTTTATCAGCTACATTTTCGCTCTGAATGTTTTTTCTCGTGAAACTAATAATTTCCGAGTTATTTGCAAAAAACCAATTTTTGTACTCTTTTTTTCAAGATGGCGCAGCCGGCTCACGCTCTATGTATGGGGACTTTTAGTATGTTTAAAAGAACACTAAAATAAACCTGTATACCAATTTCCAGCTTGCCGGGAATTTTTTCATCCAAAAATCTTAATTTGACTGGGCTAAAACAGATTGAAATCAAACTGCAAGTAAATTATTCATTATTATCTAAAGCCTTTAATGTTCAGCATCAACTCGTTATCTGTTATTAGTTTAGAAAAATTAACAATTTGTCACCTTATTCCCCTTTCTCTTACATAATATATATACTATGTGTATTATAGGTACAACTAATAATAAAAGTTTTGATCTTTTTAATTCTAACAATAATATTAATTAATAGTAATAGAAAGCATAAATACAGAGTATTCTAAAAGTTAAATATGTAGTATAACAGCATTTTCTCCAATTCCTCTGAAATATTCAAATTTTAAACAAATTTGTCGCTTATTATGTAATTAATACACTTAAAATATTACAATGTCGGCCAGTAAGGAAATGATAATTGAAATAATAATTTATGGATATATATTTATGGATATACATTCATGGATATTATACATTCATGGATATACATTAATGGATATATACAGCTTTTGAATACTATGTATTTATCTTTTTTACTATTCTCTGCTTTATTAACAAAGATTATGATTTTAAAATATATATTTATGTGGAACATAATATGATCTAATCAGTAAACTATACATTAAACTGGAATGTGTGTGTGTGTATATGTGTGAACTCGGCTCACTTCACTCTGGAAGAAAACGGGACGAGCGAGAGGGAGGAAAAATAGCGGCCAACCCTCCTTTTCTGTTACTATACTTTTCGTGAAGAATGGAAAATCATTGACCAATCAAAAATTCGCTAAACAGAGACAGAAATAAGAAATGGCCTCAAAGCAACCTATTTTTTTTCTTGTGGCCCGGGCGCTAGTATAGGAGTTCACATTCCATCATAGTATATAT